GTATATATAACTTAACATATGAAACAGAAAATTGTTGCCAAAAATTCCTGAATTCTGATACATCATGTTAAAATTATCATATAAATGTTTCTACGTAAGATTTTTTTTTTTTTGAGAAAGGTATTTGAAATATTTTATTAGTTAAACTATCAAGAATCAAAGAAGCTAACTAGGTTGCTTTTTCTTGTAAATAGCAGTCATGAGGAGTAGATGCTGTGCCCGTGGCTCACTCTACTTCCTTCAGATACCAGCAGCTGCAATAGGGGTGGCTGCAGCATAGTGGCATAATAAAGCAGCAGCAAAGGCAGTTCCTATCTTCTTCATCTCCTTCCACCACTCCTCCCCCACTTCTCTCTTCCTTTTCCTTAAGCTGTGATTGAGAGCTTGGATCTGTCCAACTAAATCAGGACTCAGCTGAGTCAGAATTAGTTGTCTTTATATCATCAAGTCAGAGTGACTCAGTACATGTCAATAGTGGATACATGTCGATGCACAAAGGCCTTAGACATGTGAATCCAGGTAAAATTGATGACATATGTGAAGTTGTAATTTCTTTAGAAGAAACAATTGAAACTTACATAAGATACAAGATAAAGATAAAAATGGACCCAACAAAGAATTACTAAATCAAGTAATAAAGTATATACTTCAAGAAAATATTAAAAAGGAACTAAAAGCAAAACAACAAAACAAACATAGAAGAAGAATGAAAGAGAAGATAAAAACAGTAAATATATCCTCTTCTTTGATGATAAGCCAGGTTGTGGTCTGGATTAAAGGGATTTTTGTCTTCCTCCAAAGTGACAATCAAGATTTTGTGTGATTTGTGCTTGGTGAAACATCTTGTGCTTGTGGAGATTCTGAGCCCCAGAATCAACCACAATATAATAGTGTCAAACCAACAACATTGCATTTAATTTAATTTAAACATTTAATTTTAGATCTGAGGTTTCAATCCTCATACCTGGAAACTGCCTCTCCACAGGAGAGGCCAACTTCTACCAGATAAGCATCAGAGATGGGCCCAAGATCACCAGAGGGATGATGGGAGACCAAAGACAAGAATCTCACATGGTAGCCTAGGTGAGTGCTGTTTTTTCATCAATTTTTTTACTTTTTTGTTTCTGAAAGCACTTCTGTGTTACTAAGGTGGTTGCGTTAGCATTACATACCATAACAGTCAGCAGTCAAACTGAGGAGAACCGGTAGAATTTAGAACTTTAATGGCATTCAGTTGTAGGTAAAAAGGAAAGGAAACAAAAACAAGAGACATTCACATAAGCAACAACTGCTAGAAATGCAAACCGAAGCACATAAGCAATGCCACCAGGTATGAAAAACAAATATGAACAAGGAAATTGTTAATTATACTACAAGTACTTTTTTTAAGGAAAAATCCATCTGCACCTGGAAGCAAAAATATATTCTCTTGTAACATAAGGCCAACTATATCCACTCTAATTGACCTAATAAGTAGATTTGAATGAACCTAGTTTAATTTAGAAAAAAAGATTGTATAAAATCTGGACTTTTAGCAAGGGGCTGATCTCCACATATGGTTTTTGATCGGAACCAGGTTAATTGGTCAGGTCAGTTAAATATTTATACACCTAGTATCAGCTCAAAGAAATAGGGTGCAAGAAACAAAAAATAAAGGTTAAGATAATCTAACCACTATCCACACATTTGCTAAGAGGACGAAAACAAAATAAATATGGAACTTAACACACACAAAAAAAGACATGTTCCTTTATAAGCCCCCATGATGGCTCTCCAACTAAACACAATTATATAAGCCTTGACATGTTCCCACATATATATACACAACAACAACAACATTAACAAAGCTGTAAGTCCCAATTATTTGGATGTTTTGATATATATATATATATATATATATATATATAATCTATCACAAATCAAGGATTTATATCTGGTTGAATACTGGTTGCAATAACCTACTGGACCAGTACGACACCAATTTACTAGATGGTGTACCAGTCTACACTGTCTAGTATCATTATACAAAAAATAATAACAAATGATATTATACCAGTATCAAACTATATCTTTCGCTACGATAGTTGACCACATCAGTATATACAATTCAGGACTTACTGGTCCAACCAATATTTAAAAACTGGTTGAGGATGCCTATAAATGTTAAAACTTGTAATGGTCCACATTAGGCCTCCAACAACACCCACAAGTAGTACCCTAACTTCAGAATGATGTAATGCAATTAAGGATGTCTACTTAAGATAATTCAAAATGAGTTGCTGTAGGATAAAAATAACATGAAAAAATAACATATATGTCTAATAAATATTCCCATAAAAATTTGGTAAATGCCAAGTGTCGTCTATGGTACCTTTTTGGCATGTTTGGTTCACTTCACCTTTTTTTTAGCAAGGATTGAAATATTGTACCGTACCGGAATTTCGACCTTCTCTCGGTACAGTACAGTATTATATACCGAGCGGTATACCGTTCGGTATATATATATATATACCGCTTGTTAGTGAGCGATCCACGTATCGGTTTACAGTCGGACTAGTACGTACCACCCGGTACCATTCAAAATTGTATATATTGCTTTTTAGAATTAAAATGCACCTCTAGAAAAATAAGACTAATAGATGCTAGTTATCCATTTCCAGTTCCCCAAATAAAAAAACATTGAGGATATCACAAATCAAAAATCAAATCATGGTATGTAATTTCGAATGGTATCGCCCGGTACGAGAGGTACGTACCAATCCGATGGCATACCGATACGTGGACCGCCCGCTACCGGACAGAACGTGCAGTAGTGCTACAGTGCTACAGTAAGAGGAAGAAATATATAAAACCGCTTGGTACGCTCTGGTATACCGCTCGGTACACGGTACCATACCGTACCGAGCCAACCTCGAAACACCGGTACAGTACGGTATTGCATACCTTAAATCAAATAACTAAGATTTTTTTTTATAATGTATCATTTCAAATGAAGATATTTACAAATCAAATAAGCATTACAACAACAACAACAAAATTGTAATGTGTCATGTATTTGAGATAGCTGCATGGATCTTTTATGGTCATTGAACTATGAAAAGAGTCATATTCTTAGTTATATTAAGAGTACATAAATTTTTGCTTATGGTTTCTAATAAAGTTTTTTTAGGTCTCCCTCTCCCCCTCCTTTTTTCATAATCATTTATATCTTCTAACTTCATATATATAAGCCTCCTTAGCATATACCAATATTATCTTAAACAAGTATCTCTCAGTATTGTTCAGGAATGAAAACACTTCTTTTCCCATTTTAGCAATTCGACACGTTTGCCTCGACAATGATAAACCTTTTCTTTGTATATCTTGTTTCTTGATTGCGTAACACTAAAATCCATAAAGCTCGTTAGTCTAAGAACGATTTCCTTCTAATCTAAAAGGTACCTAGTGATTGCACAAAACTCCTTATGTCCCTCTCTATTTGAACCATCCGATTTTTCCTCTATGAACAACATTTTCATTATTCTTTCCATCTTATTGGATATGTAATCCAAGATATATATAAGACTTTAACTTGATGAAACTTCTTGGCCATTCAAATTAATTATATTCTCATGCTATCACTAAGATTACTTAGTCCTACTTATAGACTTTTGGTTTCCAAGGTTCATTTTCATAATACAAGCTTAAATTAATTTCATCTAACTTGTAATCAACAAAAACAATAGTTTACTTCATTATCAATGTGAAAAGATAGAAACTTAATACGGATACTTGATATAGTATTATACTAATAAAGAACTCATTAGACAAGTTCTAACACCTTTGACTACACTATGATTCATATCTTTTATAATATCAATATGGTTAACTATAATAAATCCTTAAGAACTCTATCAAATAAGCATTACAAAAGCAAATTCATTCTTGACACTACAAGAGATCTATATACAAGGGAAAGTCCACTAGAATACTCTTGTATCGTAGGATTCAAGGACTTACGTTTTGCCTAGACCGGAATGAAACTAGCGACACGTATTGGTCTGAGCTCCAACAGATACACAGACCCACCTCGGTCTGGTCCGCCATATAAAAGGGAAAGTGGGAAACCCTAAATCCCACTTCCACGCCGCCTATGCTTCTCACACAGCCATGATCAATGCTGCAACTTTTCGCCTTTGTCTTCTCACCGCGATTGACACCTCTTCTCACACAAATGGCTATTGGCAACCTCCTCTTGCCAAGACCTCGTTGCATACCACCATGCACAATCTTTGCCCTAATCACTTCTCAGGTATGTCTCTTCTCCTCTTCCTCTTCCTCTTTCTCCTTCCTCCACTGTTTCCTCTTCTTCGCTCTTTCTTCCTTCATCCTCCACTATCCCTTCCTCTTATCCCTGTTTTCCTTCCTCTCCGAAATACCGATACCTACCAATGTACCATGTGTCAGTACATAACCGGTATGTACTGGTCCGACAAATCTCCGTGACAAGTTTGGTACCCGACATGGCGAACCTTGGTAGGATTAACCTTTACAAGAAATACATGAACCACAACCAACAAAAAAGAATGTATTAACAACAAAATTTTAATTTATCATGACTAGGGCAGGGGAAGAAAATCAATAAGATACATTGGGAAGACCATTTATATTATTCCAAATTATTCTTTCCTTTAAATGAGACAATCATCAAACTCAATATTCACAATGTTAGCTAAATTATGCTAAATGCTTATTTTATACAAATAGGTATATGAAAAATTCACAATTCATAGTTGCACTAGGTGTTGCATCAGTAATTAATCGACTATTTACAGTTGACATCATGTTACCAACAGTCACTAGCACTTGTTTCTTTCTGGAGGAAAGTAAAATTAGAACAACTACCATGGCTTTTAGGATCAGAGGTGCAGTACACTAATTACTAAAAGTAAAGAACAGTTGAAGAAAGAACCACATAGAACAAATGATGCAAAAGACTTAATAAAGGGACTGCTGCTAACCATGAATTATCTTCAAAAAGGAGCCTCAAGTGATTCATCCCAGATGTCTCCACTTCCATTGGAGGCATCTTCACCATCTTCCTCCATGCTCAATCTAATATATTCTCTATGTGCGAAACGGTCCCACTCAGTCAAAGTTGGGTTTTCCCTTTCCTGAATTAACAATTACATGAACAGGTTACCAATTTATTGTATAATTAACAAGTTCCAAATAGCTAACAGCTCCTGAAAATGCAGAGTGATTCACTAACCTGCCGAATGAGAAATGGATCACGAGTTTCAAATGCCATGAATTTGTTGAGATTAAAAAGGATATTAAAAACATTTCCTGAAAGTTTGCAGCCTTTTAAGTCACGCAATGTAAAGTAGCTCTCATTCTGCGAAGAAAAAAATTTTAGTTTTAAATAATTCACAAACTCATCTTAATCTTAAACATCAGGAGATAGGTCACCTCAGATCCAATCATATCAATCATCTGGCACAAAATGTCCTCAAAGAGCACAGGTTCTTGCGCCATACATTCCATACGATGCAACTGCTCCTCATAGAAAAATTGCATCTCATTGGCAGTTAAAATTCCATTCCCATCCAAATCTATACACTTGAACCTGAAAAATCAATTCATTCCTAACAAATATTATAATTAATTAAGAAAATAGTTTAAATCAATGATGATCTAGAACGATCATGTGAAATTAATGACAATCTTTCTCATCATACATGGAGCAACAATAGAGGAGGGAGCCAGCTAGTATTTGACATCTACTTACCATGAATAAAAAATGAAGAGAGTAGATTAAACTCAAGATAAAGTCAGAGAAATCAACCAAGAACACAGATTCAAAAGTAGGTTGGCACCAACAGAAGCACACCTAAGATTGCTTGCAGTGAGAATAAATGTAAGAAGTACCTAAGGTAATCCTCTAAACATATTGTGGTTGTAACTTGTGAGGCATAATCAAGAAAAACTAAAAAAAGAAATATGAGTCAAACAATATGAATGTGCAGAAGTCCCAATACAAGTTAACTCTTGCTGTTTTGATGCCAACAGGCTACAGCTAAGTACTAAAGAAGGTGACAGGAATGTGAATAAGGAAAATTGTGATCTCATGATATTATGATAGTAATTTGCACAGTTTCTAGATATGAGTTAGTTTATAATAACTCTTTTTTTGACATATATAATATCTGAACCAATGTGGAAAACATGAATCATGGTTTCGTTAACAAGTCATGATGGAAAAAAAAAAAAATTTAAAAGAACCATGAAATTCAGAAATTATGATTGGATCTGAATTGGTTGGCTACTACACATTGCAAAACTTCATGCTGCTGGCACGATAAGTATAACCAAAAGAGAATGGTGACTGAAACAAGAGGCACTAATTGCCTCCTACTCTGATAATGAATTTTTTAAAAGTGAAACAAGAAAGCCGAAATGGCAGCTTATAAAGATCCAACATATGATGGGAAATAGATTCTTCATCTTGTATATGATCACAGTAGGAAATCCTAATATTTCATGGTTGCAGCATTGGTATGCGTCCTGAAAAGAAGATCCTCAGATTAAAGAAAATAAGGAACAAGTCAGATATCTAAATGAAGTTTATTAAATAAATTTTGCTAAAAGGGCAGAAACTTCGACCATATAGAAAAATCAATTGGATCCATGGCAGATCCTGATACTGTAATCCCATGTGATTACATTACAAGGATAGGACTGGAATGGCTTGTACCTATTATATGTCAGAAAGCATTATTCATATTGTTTAAATTATTAGAACTTGACAACACCAGCCCCATTATCAGACACTTAGAATTTGTACTTAAATGTAAATTTGTCAAGCAAAAGATCTTCCATCAAAACAAAGCAAAAGAGGAAGAGATTATGTCAAATCAGATGGCATCATCATATAAACCATGCATATGACATAATTTTCAGAGGAGATGTTGCTATCACCAATACTCAAGACTAGGCTCAGCAGACTTATCCTCCTCTGCTAGTATAAAATACACAAAGTCTTCGTAGCCCATTTTGCCATCAGCATTGCTTTTAAATTTCCTGGGAACCTAGATGACAATTCAAACACATTGTGAATCACCTGTACAATTTAATAATCTAACAGCTGCACTTTATCTAGCATTTAAATTATCACTAGTATAATGCTTGACCATTGCATATTAACAAAATAATCTGAAAACAACAAATGTGTGAAAACCTGTGAAAAGATCCTTTCAACAATTCTGTAGGTCAGTGCATGGTTTCCATATCTGATAAGGTTCTCTTTATCAATCAAGAAGTCATGATCTGTATCAAGTTCCCAGAACTTACAATAGATCACATAGAAGTGCTCGTATGAAAAGTATCTGCAGGAATAAGCAGCAGCAAACAAAGCTGTTATTGTAAAATGCCTCAATTACTAACACAAAGTATAAAATTATAAACAAAAGTTATTACTAACTCATAATATAAAAGGTTTATAATTGGGGCCTCTATCTATCATAACAAGCGACTCTAAAGATTATTAGGCTTGCTTATGAAATTTGAAGTAATATAACCTTGCAGTGAAAGAAGGCGCATGCATCTTGCTACTTGAATCCTTAAAAACGAAATCAATGCTCCTCTTTAACTTCATACCTTTCAAAACCCATGCATATTAATCATAAGAGGTTATATTTTAGTTTGAAAACAATGCTCTTCTATAACTTATTATCAGAACTCATATCTGTGAGGCTTTCAGTTTCAATTTGTCAATTCAGATGTAATTTTGACCATGGATTAAAATACAGCCCAATGACATTTTAGTACAGTACCAAGAAACATATCCATCTGTATCACTCGATATCAATGAGGAAAAAAAATTAAAAATTAAAATTGTACTGGAATTGAGCTATATATTTTGATACCAGTACTTAGTGAATAATTTTAGTCAGCATGTACTAATCTGGCTAATATTTAATTCCTTGATTGTGACTGCCATAAGGACCTATGTCAGAAATTGTCTTGTGCTGTCAAAAAAAAAAAATGAAACCAATGGGATTCCAAAATGCCAAAGTGAGCAGTTGTCAGTCATATCTGTATCAGCATAAACAGGCCTTTCCCTGCAAATAAAAGCAAGTTCAAGCTACAAGTTGGATAAAATTCCAAGTCTTTGATGTGCACCCAAGACAAGGAGACTCTCCACAACCATAACCACCACTAATTTAAAGAACTCTTAGTCAATCAGTCATTTCACACACATGCAAGAATAAGAAGCCAGTAAGGTCATATTTTATCACCAAGAGGCAAAAGTCATACAAATGACAGAAGAATAAAAATGATCACTGATAAATTAGCAAATGATAGTATGAAACGCCAGATGCAAAATTAAATTGAAATTGCAATAGTATTTCAGGCATTTACAATATTAACTCCAAGTCATTTACATAAATACAAGGACACCAGAAGCCCGTAAGGTCACATATTCTCATAAAGAGACGAAGTCATATAAACAATGAAATAATAAACATAAACTCCAATTCACTAGCAAAAGATAGTGTCAACAGCTAGATGCATGATATAAGTCCAAACTGCAATAGTACTTCAGGCATCTACAATATAAACTTGCACAGATCATTCCAAGCTCATGTACAAGACGGATAAAAAGTGCATTAACATAAAGTCACCTCAAGACTTTGTTAATATCCTCCTCTTCGTCAGCATGCTGCATCGCAGCAATTAAGTTTCCATGTTTCAACTCTCTGAGGGTAAGTTGACCATTTCCAGATCTATTCACATGGTAAAAGATTCTGTATATGACAGTTTCAGCTGGAAAAAAGGTTCCAAAACAATATGAATTAGAGAAAGTACTACCATGGCATTTGGAGAGTTCGAAGGTCAAAGATGATGATGCTGTTATCTAATATGTCATTGAACACTTGGGATTAGACAACAAAAGCAATTGGTTGTGATTATCAATGTATAGATGCAACACATGACAGAAGCATAAGGAAAGTCTATGAGCAACAGTATAGAATAAATGAATAATGACTAGAAAATGATGTCAAGTTGTGATAAAAAATAATGATAGTGATGAGTTTGACCTTTAACCAATATGTCAATGGATCATGTTCTAATAAACTACACAAGACATTCTCCACATCGAAATGCAAAGCCAAAAGAAGTTCTTATGTTTTTGCTTTACATGTGTACAGTAACAAACAACTCACTGAATTGTAAACATCTTATTTTCTAATGACAACTAGAGCAGTTGAGCGTGCAATGTCTAAATCTTAAGAATTTAAATTATTCACACAATATATTGGTCTGATGGAGTAAGTCTTAAGTAAAAATGAATAATCCATCTGACCATATGGATTTCCTCCAAACACATTATAGGTGACTGATAGGGTATTAGGGTTACCACTGTTATGCAGGTTAAGTAACTGATGACTCATCAACTTTTCTTCCTTGCCATAACTTTTCATATTTTATCTTCTTCTTATACATGCATTGCCAACCAAGAAGAATAGTATGTGGTTCACTTACAGCTTTCATGGTAGGTCCTAGTGTTCCTAACTCTCCAGAACATCCACAATTCTTTTTGCTAATCATAACTACTAGTGCTCCACAGGTTTATACTTTAAGATTCACTAACTGGATAGACTGTATACAGCATGACTATCAAAAGTTTCACTATAATTGCATCAAACAGCCATGAATAAAGTGAACATCTGTTGTCTGCAAGCTTTTAAACAAAGATTATGCTTTTTTCATCACATGATAAGTGTATATCATGAGATGAGAGAAGCATTTCGGTTGATGGAAAGCCTTATCCATTTCTTTTTCCATAAAAAAGAAAGAAGTGCAGATGGGATTGTAGATAACAAGGACTGCCATATTGTACCAGTCGCTGGCCGGACCGGTACATACCTGTGTTTCAAAGACGAAGGAGAAGAAGAAGGCACAATGGAGAAGAGAGGAGGAAGAAAGATGAGAAGGTAGTGGAGGAAGAGGAAGAAGGAATAAGAGAGGCAGTGGAAGAGGAGGAAGAAGAAGTGGAAGCGATGGAGGAAGAAGGAAGAAGAGGAGGCAGTGGACAGTAGGAAGAAGGAAGAGGAGAAGAGGTGGGAGTGCACTAGGCAGTGAACATTAGCGGCGACAACATTGAATGACGGCGGCGGCGACAATGACATCAAATGTCACTGGCACGACGCCGTATGATAGCAGCGATGACAACAGCATCACAAGAAGACAGCTCATGTTCATGAGCCCTCTACTGCATCAATTATCCAAAATGATTATTCAAACTCATGTTCTGGAAATTGATACTTCTTATCGTATATAGCTTTATATTTCCAGTTCTTTCCACTGGTACTTCAGTAAAAAGATGGAAGTCACTCAATTGTTGCATTCCCTTCTAGAACATTTATTATCAAAACTCCAATATTACCAAGGAAATTGAAGACATGAAATTAAAAAATATTGAATGAAGCACAATAGTGTTATTTGAGCTTCAATATTGTACAGGTTGTGCATCTTCTATCTTGTCTTTAGAAACATAAAAAATGACTTATGCTGATCACCATAAAAGATCTCACTAATATATCCAAAGTTCCCACAGAAAATTATCATGGATTTCACAATCATAGATCTCTCCTCCAATTCCCCCAACCCAAAAGAAAAAAACCTCACCGGGCCCCTAGGAAATGAATATAATTATCAATCACAGATATCCAAATAATCAATTAAACACATTTTGGTTCATAAGCTCAAACAATAAATATCGTGACAATTGTGAAGTAAAAGAGTAAGGAAGAAGCAGGACAAAGAAAGCAGCAATATGGTCAACAAAGAAAGCAACAAAAAGAAAGAAAGGAAAAGCAGGTGTTTACAACCAACTCATATAGTCAATATGAACTTCAGATGCCTGGTCTTTTCCATTTTGGTTTTCAATGAAGGAAAACTTGCTTAATGGTTGGCCTTTCTACTTTTCTTGAAGAACAGAACTGTTACCCTTTCAGAAATTAGTTGAGTTTGATCTCTTGCATCACATAGATCTTACCATTTGTAATGAAGATAAAATGATAAAAGATGCAAGTGATTATACAGGCACACCCTTTAGGAACTGGACCTTAAGAAAACAAAACAAGGGACACTATTAATGCCTCAGTGAAAACTGTGAGCTCACTTAAGGTGAGAGTCAAATTATGCAAAATCATCATCTGAAAAGATGAACATTTATCCCACAAGTAATTATAGAGGTACACCTTTTAGGATCTGGGCCTCAAAAAATTAACCAAGAGACATGATTAAGGCATGTCTCAGTGAAGGCTATGAGCATGCAATTGAGGAGATGACCAAAATGTGCAAGATTGTTTTTTGACAAGAGGAACAACTATCCCAACTATATATGTATTCACTTGTAACTTAAATATCATGATGATCACCCAACTAACTTATTATAATGCCAAACATAATGAGAATACTTAATAGTAAAGGCATCTTTATCATAAGTAAGAACTCACCATATCTATCCTGGAACTCAGGGGTTCCCTGTAGGAACTCCAAACCTGGATGGGTTGCCAAAAGTTCTCGCAGGACTGGTTTAAAGTCCTCCTACAGGAACCCGGAGTAAATTTAATCAATTTAGTGTCAAAATTAGAAGGAATGAAATTAATCTCCTATAATGAATGTACCATTAATCTTCTGCTTAAGTCAGATGAAGATTGTGAACACCTGTCTAAGAAACAATTTATTTAAATGCTTGGAAAGAGGAAACAAACCTGAGTAAGGTACTTGTGGTCCGGTTGCTTCAAAATGGTAAATATTTGTGTAGCTATATCCTTTATCATCATGTTACTGTTAATCCAATATTCGACGAATGAATCCCTAAAATAGTATCAAAAAGTTACAAATTTCAGTGTGACGAACACCTCCAATAATAAAATATAGAATAATAAGCAAACCTAAGTTTATTTATGAATGATCATAGAACCTATATGTTGTAAAAGAGAAAGCTGAAATAAAACAATGACAAATGAAACAAATGACTATATTTGAAGAGGGTAATTGGGAATAAACTAATTGACTTAATAATGTAATGTAATCATTGTAGTGTCTTCACAATTAAGCAATGCATTAATTGACTTGACTACATAAAATAAATCTTGATGTCACCTACAACACTAAATAACTCGAGCAAAAGCTTCAAAGAGTACCATGGTCCCAAAAGAAAAGAACATAGTATTACCTACCACATAGCACATGCCAAGCTAACCTACAATAACCGCACCCTAATATGTACCATGACAATGAATTTACTGTTTTCCAACTAAGGCTGAAAAGACAGACACCTTTCCTGTCTCTGTCTTAGCAAGGTCCGATTCTAAAAAAAAAACAAAACACAAAACTTATAGTAAAAGAGGGTACAGCTGGCAACAAAAGCAGAAGGCAAGAACATTAAGTCTTTCCATTTAATGGCAATGAAAGTTATTTGTAATGGTGACTTAATGTATGAGGTTCATGAGATACCATGAAGTCCAATGTAATTTGTCTAACCCTTGCAAACATAGAGGCTATATTTAGGGGTCCTAATAAGATGTCTTGGACAGGATTCATGTCAAGTTGAGAGAGATGAAAATAATGAGATAACACCATGAATCCATAAAAATTTTTATGAGAGAAAATTTTAAACCAAAATCAAACCAACTTAATACTGATGGAACCATATCTGCAACATGTATCTCAATAAATAAGTCAAATCAAGTAAAAAATGATACCATCAACTAACTTCAATTCAATATGACTTTCTTACACAAAGAAAACTTGAGATATTAATCCAATCAACCTATCAATGATGGTTAACTTCTATAACCTAATTGCAAGGAAACTAACATGTAGAACCAAAAGCATAATTAACACATTTAACCTGATTGTTCATTATATCAAAATATATCAAGATTAATTATGAAAACACAAAACCTATTAACAAGGCAATTTGCAACATTTCATTTATGGTTTGAACCCATAAAGTCCACATGACCCCACTGGTTTCATGTCAGGTCATATCGAATTTGTGGCAAGTCAATAATAGCCACATAGTTGTATATATTAGTTATCGTTCAAACTGTTTTCACATCACAAGAAAAAAGATACCTTACTACGGTGCCAAACTCCACCCCGTTCTGAAGTTCTAAGATGGCTACTAAATGTCCAAGTATGACTCTGAAAATACAGGTATATGACTGTGGAGATTAATTATGATTCCATTTAATGAAAAGATGATTTCTTTTGGGTACTACTTTCTTCCTCTTCTACCTTCTCTATCTTACCCCCAGTCTCTCTCTTCAAAATACTGCTGCTTTCTATTTTACTATGAAAAAAAACTAATATATATATATATAATTTCATTCAATACATGCCCAGCTTCCTCACAGCCAGATGTGGATACAATTTTATATTTGCAGTGGAAGATGGTTGATTAATCAAGTATATGTCTAAAATTTGACACAAGCACATAAATGCTTAAAAGTTTAACTTAATGCACCATCCAATCCAGACCATCTATTAGGCTGATAGCAGGCTATATGCAACCTGATGTTACATGCCTGCTAAACAATAACATAACAACAAATCATTTGAATTTATGGCAGGCTCAGGTTCTGAAAATATTCACATATGCTATTTGCAGGCTGTGATTAAACAAATTTAGAACATTACTGTGTAGATTGTTGCAGATAATACATCAGTCCCACATCATGAGAAAAAATGGTTAAAATCACATTAAGATTTAAGATCAATTGAGAGGAGGGAGGGTAATGCTACTCTTTTGTGCTGGTTGTCACTTGCCACTAATAAGATGCAATGACATGATCCCAAATATAATCAACTTTCAGAAAAAGAAAAAGATAAGCTTAGACTGCAAAGCAATGGACGATCAGAAATTTTATGATTTTATCTTGAATATTAAAGAATTGGAAAATAGTTTTAAGCAGCAGTAAAAGCTAAATAACCAATACAAGTTTAAGCAATGAAATTGTAGAAGCTCCCAAAGATCAATTTGTAGAATATAAGTAGTCTTGATTCTTATAAGGTTTTACATACCTTGTTACCATTCCAGTGCACTCAACATCAATTTTTCTGAAAAGAGAACTGGAAAGAAATGATGGTAACTTGCAGATTTCCTTTGTCAGGGTTTTGAATTCTAAAATAGGAAAAACCAAGTTTAAATGATTGTCATGCTGATTAACACTATAAGCGTTAGCATGTGTCGCATGCAAGTTCACCTTGTATTTGTAGTCCGTCCATGTTGCCAAAGAAAAGATGATCAATTCTAGATAAGCATTGTTCCTTCAGTTCTCTTGGAGGAGGACGCCCATATTGGAAGTAGAACTGTGATTGTATCAATCATTTAAAAATCAGTTAAATAATAGAATCCTTAGCCACCTACAAAAGATATTTTAGTCTGCATTGCGAATAAATATGATCAACAGTTAGACACCACCTGAGGTATAACTTCTTTGACAGGTTCATTAACTAATTTTAGTGGAGAACCAAAAGGTGAAGGTCCAGCTGCTGAACTACTACGCTTCATAAAACGAGGAGATCCAGATGTGCTCCTAGGTGAGAGAGGAGGCACACTGCCAGCAGGAAACATGGAAGGCAGTGAATTGTTAGCAGCAGCAATTGCAGTACCAGAGCTGCCAGCAACATTCAAAGGTGAACCTGCTTTTGCATCTTCAATCAATGACTTAACCTGAGACCAAAGGCTAAACGATGAGATACTAATGTGAAACATTGGCAGAAGTACCCTAATTACTCTTGAGTATATTTTATCAAGAATCCTTTATAATAGTTCAGGACAAAAGGTTGTTCTCTTTAAGATTTTTTCCATTTTACGTGAACTGGGGACAAAGGATTTGCAGTCCCCTGCCTTGCCACTTGGCCATGTTGTCAAGGTCGTAAATGATCAAGTGGCATCCAATCCATGAAATGATTTGATATATACACCGAGGCGTCTACATATCACCAACAAATTACAGTCCATCCCCTCTTCCATTATTTAAATATTTAATCTAGTTTAGGGACAGAAAACTTAATGAATTGTATCTAAAGACATGGAAAGGGATATTTTTATGACAGCAACAAAAGTCCAAGCTCATGACATCATTGATTTTGTATCTCGAGTTATTCAACGGTTTGGTATGAGTTTTTTTTTTTTGCAAATGTAATTTTGTAATTTGCGGAGTTGTAGCTCCAATAGTGAAGGACCGAAGAAGATTAGCCACCACTCGTCTTGGAGGTAGGTCATAATGGACACGTAATAGGTTCTTGGTGCTTTAATGATACAGCATATGAGGAATGACATGATTGGAAGTGGATTATATTAACTGTCGTATAGAAATAAATGTAAAATATCTAAGCCAGACTTAAGTGCATTTATACATATGTCTTATGTCATTATCTTTGACGATACAGTTTTCTTTTTTGAATTCAACATCATCAACATTATGCTTTTTTTCGTCACTGTTCTCCAACAAGACCTTTTGATGCTATTTCTGACCTGCTAGCATCAATATTCTCTTATTTTGCTCTCTAAATTGGTATGATACTAGGGCAAACAAAAGTTATACTCACAAGAAAGAAACAGTGAAGTCGTCACAAGTATGTTCAAGTCATGGTGCATTTAATATAAATTTTCATGATGCGGTGGTAATCATATCTATTTCAGCTTAAGAAATCTTACGCATATTAGAATTTGAATATATACAACAATATTACAGCTCTTAAATTCCTTAAATGAGCTCGTTAAGGAATGTGTCTTAATTTCAAAAGGAATAAAATAATAACTTAAATGCTCCTTCTAATATTGCAAAGAATCATAGGCATATATGCCAAGAAAAGACTCTAAATCTTCAACAAAGCCAATTATGCTAAGTTGCTAACTGATCTCCAGAAACAAGAGGGCAGAGCATATCATGCACATTACCAACAGAGACATCCTGAATAGATAGCTCATCAATTTTTGAGCGAAAGAGTCCTTAAGATCAACAAAGGTATGTTATGCACAACTAAGCGTCCCACCACTTGGCGCAAAAGGTTAACAGAAGAGTAAACAAGACTAGCTGAGTTGAATTGACTGTCACAGGACAAAGAAGGTAAAGAAAACGTACCAATTTCCTCGTTTCTGGCAATGAGAGCCACTGGCAATACAGGTCTTCAGCTATTTTAGGTTTCTCCTTCAGAGCTAATTGAGATACCTCCGGAAGCTGCAGCAGCTCCGGGTCAAGTGATGCCATGTCCCTCACCATATCCGTATCCATTCCAACCAAATCCTTCCTCGCGCATAAAACGAGAACAGAAACAACCAACAAAAAGAAAACCGGAAACCCTGGATCCCCAAGCTTTCTTGACCAAAGAATCCAAAAATCAAATCCTTGGTTTAAAAATCACGGGCAACAAACCCTAAGCCTTCCAATCCGATCGTCGCCCTCCCTACCCTTCTCCATCTGCACATTCTAGCAACCAAACCTCGAATCCCTCCAACGAGTTGTCAAATAAATCCAAGAAATCCTATATTGGAAGCTGAGAAGCTGGAGAAACCTCAGATCGCTTCGACTCGGCGGGATCCTGGCTTAACCCGACACCGAAGCAATATGAAGCGAGATCGTCCTCGAAATCTCTCTCTCGGAAGACCGGAACCGATGGCAAGCGGAGGAAAGCACGATGATTGTATCTGGAACGGGAGGGAACTCGGATCACGGAGCTCGCGGCCCTCGAGGACCAAGGTGAGAAGAGGTGGCTTTGGACCTCGAAACGCCGAGAGAGGAAAGAGAAAAGTGAGAAAGCAGCATGATCGTCGCCCATCATATATATAATACTATTTAATTGATTGATATAATTGACATGAGCCGTCCGATTTGTCATAACCATGCGGAATGAGATCTGCGGCCGATAGAAACAGACGAGTCCATCAGAGGCTTCGGATCAATTACATCATCGATGGACCCAAACCACTAAGAACGCACCACGTTGGTCATTCTGCAACGAGGTGGCCCAAGAGACGCGTGGGGCCTAATTAGGCGGACTGAATCAGCCGCGACAATTATCAGGGTTGACATGGTCTCGTACAGATCTGATGTGTCACATGGACTCCAACACTCAAGATTATAAATGAGGGTGATACCATCACCGGAAATTTTACAACTGAGTTTGGTATAATTGTTAATCTAATCGATCCATAATTGATCATAATGAAAAGGATCTGAGATGATTCAGCATTCTGAGCTTGTGCTTTGAGTGAGAGGATCAATAAAATAAAAAAATGGAACAACTCACTCAAAATTTTTTTTTTATTTTAATACATATAACTATCAATAATAATATAAATTATAGGCAAAATCATACTATGCATCGCATTATGTCAATTACGATAATAATCACTTTTTCAATAATAATAATAATAATAATAATAATAATAATAATAATAATAATACATAAATTTTAGGTATTTTCCAATCAGTACCTTTATTATATTTTTTAAATAATATCTTTAATTTAATAATAATAATAATAATAATAATAATAATAATAATAATAATAATAATAATAATAATAATAACTGTCCCTTAAAAATGTTTACATCTGTTGCATTGACTTGGCTTGTTACTACATTTTTTTTTGTCTCGTACAGAGTTTTAGTCATCATAATAAAAATACTATAAAAAACATACTAAAAAATATTATAAACAATCGAAATGGATTTTCTAATCTCAATCAGACTAACTATAAATCTAAAAAATATAATATTATAAAAATATATAATATAATATCACTTACAGTATTTTTTTAATAATATTTATAGTGTTTTTAATACCTCAATAAAAATATTATACTGAAAATAATATAAATACTATTGAAAAATGAATCAAATGAAAACATTGTAACGGTTGGAAACTGATTTTAAAAAGGTGACAAATTCGGTGGAAAAACTTTTGAGGGATATTTTAATTTTTTTTTTAATTAGGGATATTATTTAAATAATAATAAAATTTTTAAAACTATATTAAAAAAAAGAGTATTTTCTAAAAAACCGTTCTAACTATAACTAATAATAATAATTAATAAAGCAACTAACAACGACGAAAACCAAAGACAGACTTGGAAGGCATCGAGACGAGGATCTGAAACAGGTTCGAGTAAAGAGAACGCCCCCCTCCTTCAGGCGTCTCGTCGAACACCTAACCGACACTCTTCAAAAACCCTGCTCGACCTTATTGGCATTAAAAGAACCTAAATTTCCTGATTCCCATCGACAACATCTCCGCCCCGTATTTCGGGTGGTGATTTCCGGCCATCGTAATCCTTCACGGCACAACTTGCAGTACATGTTCATAGCAAAGAGACCGGTGATTCGACCCGAGCCCGATGAGCCGACGCTCCGAGCGCATTCGGATGAACGTGGGGATGGAGGGCCCGAAGAAGCAGCCGCCGGCTGAAGCGTAGCAAGGTGGGGATGTGGGCCGAGAGCTAAAGCTTCATACAAGAGGAGAGGTGGTTAGGTTGGTCCGTGGACGAGAAGAGGAGTCCAAAGATGTCATTTTGAAGACCCCATCGATAATATAAACCTTGATAAGAATCTTGTACATATATGTGGTTAATACAACCTTGATTCTTTTCTGTCAAAATAATCTTTGGTACCTCCGACCTCCCCTCCCATCCCACGTCTTCCCGAGGAACCTATTCTTTCTGCTCTCACCTGCTTAAAAGAGACCTTCTTTGTCTCACAAAAATCCAATTATTATCCAGTTTGCTTCCAACTGTTCTTTCTTCTGTTTGATGGTCTCTTCATCCTTTCTTGATTTCCGATCATCCGAGACGGAAAAGTTTTGATCTTTGCATTCTTAATGTCCTTTCTTGAGTTCTGATCAATCGAGAAGAAGAACAAAGATTGATCTTTGTAAACATCGGGAAAAAAGTAATTTACGGATTCGACGATCTGCGATCGAAGCAGCCGGCGGGAGATCATGTCGTCGTCGTCGCCGCGGTGGGTGGAGGAGGTAGCAGAGGAGGAGGCGTTCGAGCACACGCTGCTGGTGGTGCGGGAGGTATCGGTCTACAAGATCCCGCCACGGAGCACCAGCGGCGGGTACAAGTGCGGCGACTGGCTGCAGTCCAACAAGATCTGGTCGGGCCGCCTCCGGGTCGTCTCCTGCGGTAACCGCTGCGAGATCCGCCTCGAGGACCCGGGCTCCGGCGAGCTCTTCGCCGCCTGCTTCGTCCTCCCCGGCCAGCGCGAGAGCTCTGTTGAGCCCGCCCTTGACTCCTCCCGCTACTTTGTGCTGAAGATCGAGGACGGCCGCGGCAAGCACGCCTTCATCGGCCTCGGGTTCAACGAGCGCAACGAGGCCTTCGATTTCAATGTGGCCCTCTCCGACCACGAGAAGTACCTGAGGAGAGACCACGAGAAAGAGGCGAGCGAGGAGATCGATGAGAGCCAGATCGGTATACATCCCTCGGTGAATCATCGCTTGAAGGTACTCTTTGCATGTGCAATCCTATGGTTGGCACTTGATCAGTACATCTCCCTGATTGATTTCATCATCATAATTATTCTTTTTAGCATCGATTTATTGATTTTGTGTTGATAATCTCATATTGCTTGATTGATATACCATGCAAAATTACAGCACTTGATCTTTGCAGTGGTGTACAAGTTTGTACTTTAGATTGCTACCCCACAATGTTCTTTTCCTGCTTTTAATGTTTGTTCGACATCTTTGTGGTCAGCTTTTTGCATTCATTAGTACTATTAGAAATATGTAGTGATCTTCTGATCTCTTGGAAGGTGTGAGGGTAAATATCCTATTAGTTAGACTTGAGGACTTTTGACACTCTTCTAGTCTGTACTTAAATCTTTGTTTTTTGGTTTATGTTAAATGAGCTTAAAGTTGGTTATGTTGTTCTCCCTATCACAAATGTTAATGCAGCATTGCCGAGTTATTGTCCTCTGACTGGTTTATTGAAAACTCTATTGGTCATTTGCCTGTCAGAATGGCTGAATGGGTTCTTTTGATTTTTGAAATGTACACAATGCTCAGTCAACTCTTATGATTGCCATAAATGTTGCCTTCTTCCATCAAGATTTAGTCAATTTAAGACCATGCACTAGAATGAATAAATTATTTGGAATGTTTGATAGAATTTTTAGGATGGTTATCAACCTGATGCCTAAATCCGTGGCAAATTCTAACTGAGGCATATTTAGGAGAGGAACTTAGCATAAAGCTTAAATTGTTATCTATAATTTAAACTCATTAAACCAATAGGCAATTGTTCAGTCAACTCTTACTGTTGTCTTTATTGTTGCCTTCTTCCATCAACCTTGAGTCAATTTAAGACAACTTGGCAAATTTTAGGTTGGGTTGTCTACCTGATGCCTAAATCCTTGGCAAATTCTAGCCAAGGCATATTTAGGAAACGGCCATAGCGTAAAGCATAAATTGTTATCTATAATTTAAACTCGTGAAACCAATAGGCGATCATCTTGGGGATAAAAAAGAAGGTGAAACAACCATCTTTGCTCTAGGGATAAATGGAAATAGTGAATATCTCAAACATGACTAATAAGCCAATAGTGAAATGACTGTATGCCTTGAAATTTCATTGCAAGGAATGGCATGTGTATCTACACTGTTTATAAAGCATAGGCCCTATGCTATGCAAAGGTAGGAAGCTTCTTGGTGATGTGTTAGGACCTTGTCCATTGAATTATACTAAGTACCTAGCATCTTTTTATTTTTCCAATAAGCTTAAGAAGTCTTGATATTCTTCAACATCATGAACTTGGGAAGAGTTGCAATGTAAGTGAATATTGTATCAATGCATGAAAATACTTTAAATTATTTAGTATATCAATATTGGATATATGGTGGATAAGATACTAGTAGGATCCTTGTGGATACATGTCAAATACTTTCCCGAGGTATTCAGTATGCCTATGGTCTTTAGATCACTTGTGGGTCCTTCTTTGGTAACTTGTTTACTTAATTGTTGATCTTTTATTCTAGATCAGATATATTTTTCATGTGATTTGTATTAAGCATCAAATAGTGATGAATTATAATCTTTCCTCGATCATTAAAATTTTTGTTATATGCCTACGTTCATGAATCACTGAATAACTAAAAATATATCTCTCATGATGAATAATCAGGAATGCAGCTATTATTTTCATGATATGTGACTACATATTCAAAGTGTATAAATAAATATGAATCTTTGTCAAATATAATAATACTATTTGTTTATATAATATATAAGTGGCCACATTGTTGATATGGAATCAAGTTTGTAAAGGAGTTCCAGGGAGTTTTGAGAGGATGTGTTGAAATAATGCTGTTGGTAGCACATTCTAGCCTGACACTGATGCTAATTGCTAATGAAATGTTGATTGAATGAATCACATAAATCAGTAAAAATATCAGAAAACATCGTGTTTAAGGAAAAAAAATCAAAGTATTTGTTGATTATTGGCATCTTACCTAGGACTGCAAGATGCATGTTACTCATCAATAATGATATATTACTAGAAAGTTTGATCTTATTTTTGAATCTGATATTTTTTTCGTTACTATATTGAAATATTGGCCCTACATTAAACTTTTATTTCATGTGTGCTATTTCATTATTTTGTTTTATGCTACAATTTATTCTTTTTCTTTATTTTTTCATATTTTGTGGCTTCTATTACTCATTATTATGTTGTTTATTTTGCACTGTTTGATGTACTATGTTTTCTAGTTGATTAAAATTTTGATGCACCAATTATTTTGGGATGTTATGGATCAGATTGGCCAATTTTTTAAACCATGATTTTATGAAATGCTATGATGAATTCTTTATTATATTATGATCCCTTATGACAGGCACATTAGGAAGTTCTAGACATCTTTATCGAATTTTATATGTAGTTCATTTTAAAATAGATATTAACTGTGTTGGTTATACATTTCCAGAATTAATTACCTTTTTTTATTCTGTACCTAAATTAAGCCTATTAACTGCATCTGAAGTACTTTACAGTTAAAAATTTGTCTCCATCTTTTTTTTCCATTTTTTCATCAGTGTCCAATGGCATGAACCTTTATAGAAAAGAAAAAGAAAGAAGGTTGCTTATAAATTATTAAAGTTATAATATTGTTCTCTTTTAATCTTTTGCTCAGACTTGATTCAAAACTTCTAGCAACTTTTTGCAATAATGCAAAACTACATTTACAATGGCCTACATTATTACCTGATATTAGGGCTTTTAATAGTAAAATTTATAGCAAAACATGCAACAGAGTGAAGACCTCGAAGTTATGAACTCGATGATATTTTCTCTTTTTGTTTAGCTTTCTTGTTGTATAATTTATTTTGTGCTTTTTCTAAGTGGATTCTACAGTAGAAACAGATCCTATTTAACATTGAGATTGGATCTCCGAATTCGATGATTGGGATTGCATAACATAGTGAAGAGGGATATGAAAACATTTTGAATTGAGACGTAGAACCTGTATAGCAGTTGACGCAAAATGCTGACTGTTGCCATAAAGTTTGCTAAGTTGATCTGTCACCAGTGTGACACTCTGAAGTAAATCCTTATTTTTAACTAGTGGGTTTTTACTGACAACTTCTGTTTTTATGTACATAAACCAAATGTTTAGTTATTACAAAACCTTTTTTATGCTCCTGTTTCTCTATGCAGTTCTTATTTGCTTGAAGGTGGAGCATGATGGGCATTTAAACACTTCCATTAAGTATCATAATATGTGCACCTTATATTGGTCTCCTCTTCATGTACAAAGATTCACAATCTGATTTTTATTTTCCTTTCTTGGTTGCCTACCATTATGTGGCACTCCGTTATTTCTTCTGTTCCGTGTTACCATACCTTTTATCCAACATCTAGGAAGGAGAAACCATTCGCATAAATATGAAGAACAAACCTGCTACGGGAGGTGGTATGCTTTCAGCTGCTGGCTTGAGTGCAGGAATCTCGAGCAAACCAAAAGGGAGCACACTCCTTGCACCACCACCAGGTGGGGCAGGAAAGGTCAGGTCGCCTCTTCCACCACCACCTAACGATCCTGCAGTTGCTAGGATGACTGCAGGTCATCCTGCTGGATTCAAGGCTCCCAAAGAATCTACAAGGCATCCTACTGATTCTTTCTCTGATCTTTCAGCCATCAAGGTATAACTCTGTGCGCTGTTAGATTCTATACCTTGCTTCTCAATTTGTGAAAATGGGAAAATTTTAGTCCAAATAATGGAGTATAATTTTTGCACTATGATTTGTGCCAACCACTTTGCCCCATGTGGCTGGCCTGGTACTTTCAGAACAAGGTTCGATTGCTTTCTGCTCTTGTGCATAAACTGAAGCTTCCTGGTTAGCTGAGAAATTAATCTCCTCCACTTGTCTTCTCCTTGGCTTCTTTAATAAAAATATTCTGCCTCTTCAGCTTTTTTTATCTTCATAATTGACAAGATTCATACTTGTGCTCATTCATTAACTTATTTGTTTTTATAGTCTTAATGCTACATCTGAGTTGCTTGAAATATCTAAGTCGCTTTCTTGATGATGTGCGTGCCAGTAATCTCTGTGCCAACTTTTCAGTGCGTTTGGATCTTATTCTTGTTACTTATGCAGAGAAATCTGCCTTCTACGACTGGGTCAGGTTCGAATAAAAACACAGCATCTGGATGGGCATCATTTTGATGCAAAGTAACATCATCTACTAAGGGAACAATACGCAAATGCTCGCATTTCCTAAGTATCTAAAGAATGATTACAGGAAAATTACTTGTTCTTATTTTAGTCATGGATTGGACTGTCAAGTGCTTGGTGTAAGTGAGAGCAACCTTCTTCTTTTTCATTTCCATGAAACCGATGTAACCTGATTCTGATCTTATCTGTATACAAGACATTGTTGAAGTTCCTTAAAGGTTGTTTTGAATCTGTGCTGTATTGCTTCTTTGTTGGAAGTGGAATCCTCTTTGAATCCCACAGATTTCATTGAAAACTTTGCTGATAATGTTCATATGAATCTCTTCTAATGTGCATCACTACATCTGATGCAATCTAATCTATCCAGTATAAGTCACTTTGGTGGGAGGAGCTGCACCAGACCCAGACTTAGTCCGGTTCTGTGAACATGTCCATTATTGATCTATTACAAATTTAATACCATTTTAATCTTCTATAAATTTGATAGATTAATTTAAGAAGTTGGGAGGATATCGAGGGGATGCTATTTAGATAGACTGAACTATTCCTATGACCACTAACAGACCTGATGTAATAATGCAAACCATGAGTTGATCCACTAAGATTTTAATTTCGATCCCTACCAATAATACCAATCAGTATTTACCGATCCGATCATGAACCAATATCATCAGACCAGACCATACCATACGGATCTCTAGACTCTGTCGTCGTGTACTATTTATTCTTAGATGAGTTTTCTATCTATCCCTCTTCACTGAACCCAACTCACAAGACTGCAGAGTGAACCCAACTGTTTAGCTATCCAATTAATTGTTCTTCAAATGCGTCAAGAACTGTAGTCGAAGAACAACACTGGACTTTCATGAACCACCATCCTTCTCCTCTTAACCTGGCCTGATGTGATGTTTGATCTCCGTTTGTGCCACTGTTAACGTACAAAGCATTAAGCGCCACTTCCTATTTACATTTTGCAAATAAATCCAAGAGAAAGTTTCTTCCCCCAACTCTCTTCCACTTGTTTTCCATGAAGTTCTTCACAGCTTCAAAGTTCAAAATACTCGGATGCACCAAGAAGTAACAACAAATGACCCACACAACATCATCAAACCGAGAGATATGGATGGCGTTGATGTCTGAATACGGAGTTGAGTTCCTAGTTTAACACAAAACATGGACAAAAGTTACAAGACTTCTAAGCAATATTCATAGGCCCAATATATATATTACACATATTAAAGACACTTCAGTTAAGCTCCTCTATCTACACTTGCAACCTTGAAAGACAGTACTAATGGAAGTTACTCCATGAATACAAACAATAAAGTTTCCAAGACTCGCCTAACAGCACAAGGCATAGAATGAGTCTTAATTTCTTCGACGCTTGAGCATATAGTTTGAAGCAAAACCTAGATCCATCAAACCCCAAGAGATCTAAACAGGTGAGGTGCACGATACTTCGCTTTAGAACAATAAAAAAGTTCAAAGCTCAGTACTTATTCAGAACATCTCACACCCGAAAGATACACTAGAGATTGTATAACACTGCCTCCAATCATAAAACCTGGCATGACCATAAGCCCAACTTTAGGCTTTGAATCTCCCTCTTCGAGAATTATGTTCTTCACAACACTTTCCATATAGACCTCCGAGAACTCGATTCCTTTCTTCACCTGAAAAACCTCCACTTTAGGATCAAATGAATACGCTAGCCTATGTAATAGCCATACCGATTTAGCCAGCTTTAGAAAAGCCTGGTAGAATGGTGTCCTTGGGTGTCCACCACTCATTACATAGTTTCTCTGATCCAGGTTACCGAAGAACGAGGCTTCCATCTTTGGGTGCACGACTAATAGGTACTTTTTCCGTGAGAACTTCCCAAAAACCGAGTCCGGATTTTGGCTCAATACATCCAGTGGATCCATAGCTCTTATAGCAAGAAACTGATGGAAGAAACCCTCATGAGAAGCAGTAAGATTGGATGGTTCCATGGAGAAGTTCTCCTGGAACCCACTGAACATTTTCTGACAAATGTGTGACTCAAATGCATACTTCTTATGAGCCCTTTTTGCATAGACAACTGCAGATTCAATTGCGTTGGCTGCTGCATCAAGATCCCACCTGGCCATTTTCATCATGTTAATCAGTGGTTTTGAGAAGTCATGGATGGATTTGTATGCTGTGTCCACAGCAGAAGAGAAAAGACTCGGAGTCAACTCGATGGAGAAGAAACTGTTTTCTTCTTCAAAAGCCTCTGATTCCTTGGGAAGCAGACCCCTCTGCTTAAGTTTCTTCTCCAATTTCATCTTTCTCTGGCCGGACTCCTGGATTTGTTTCTGCATTTGAACAATCTCAGAGTCTCTTGTTTGAATCTGGGACTGAAATTTCTTTACCATGACTTCATAGGTTTTGAGTAAGTTTTGTTGCTCTTGGATTTCAGCAAGTAGGCGTGAATCTTTAGGTGATGCTGATGTGAGTTTGGGGTTTTTATCCCTATAGGAATGTTTGAGTTCGGAAAGCTTCATTAGTTCCTCAATTACAAGTTTATCAGCAGCCTGTATCTTGTCCGGATCATAGGGAGTATGAGCATTCTGAAGTTGAATGTATGCAGCTTTCAGAGAGGAAATGTTGTTGAAGATCTTTAATATCAGTGCATCCATGGATTCCTTGTTATGATTCACAGTCTCATCTATTGGTTGAGGATAAACCTTCTGGTTATTGTTATCATGACTTTCTGTTTCCTTGTGCCCTGTTCGTAGCATAGCTTCCTTCCCTGAAGTAGCAGCTCTTGTGGTTCTTCTTTGACAGACAACAAACAAACCTCAGCCTGTATAATTTCCTAAATCATGTAACAGTGTATTAATATTTACAAATAAAGCAATTATGGTTTAGAACTTATACAGCCAAGTAAAACTAGAAATATCAGCAGGATAACATTCGATGGCTCAAATATTCTCGTGTAGTTCAATATAAAAAAAAATCCAATTTATACACCTTTCATGAACTCTTCCCAAATGGCCCAGCATTATGGTCTCCATGTATGTTCCTAGCTGGCACAAAAGATAAGTAACCCAAGGTAAACTGAATTTTCTAAATAAAAATAAGATGGCAAAACTGTTTATTCCCAAGAATTGCTCATTATAGGTGCAGTATTGTCCAAAGAAACTTCACCAACAGAGTGTGATTTTTCAAGGGATTTACAGCAGGACTTAAAACAGGATCTTTTCTAAAATGCAAGTTAGAATTGCATATTTGTTTGCATGCTCCTCAGCGATGTTTCATTTCCGCTACTACTTTCTCCTGTAATAAGCCAATGACTGATGATCTGGTATCGAAGAGACTGGAGAAACAGGGGAGAAAAGAGAGGAGATGGAGGATCAAGCCCAGTGAAACCATATTAAAATATAGCAGTTCTGTAGCAAATAAAGATCATGGGGTTTTTCTTTTGGGAAGCAGATATTTGCTTCCATGTATCACTATTTAATCTACATGGCCAAGTAGAAACGTGAATAGGTAAACAGTTTTTCATGAAATACAGGAAATGAATTATGAACATCTATACAAAGAAAAGTTCAAATTCAAGCTCAAACATGTACGTATACAACTCAAGCCATATTCGCATATTTTGCAATCACAAGAAGTTAATCTAATAAAAAAAAGAAGAAAACAAACATACAACGTTTCTTTTGGGCACTTTATAAATCCACAATATAACTAACTTGGTGTTAATCAGTTTTCATGTGGTATATGCATCATACATCATCCATTTGAAAATTTTAATGGTTGTGATCCACAAATGAACTCTCATTCATCCTTTCATCCAGAGATCTAATACCTAAACTGTGCATTCAAACCTTCAAACACGTGATATTCATACATTTCTTCCAAGAGATTGCAATAGCAAATACAAACTTAATTGTAAGCCATAAAATTATTTCAGTCCAACATAAGTTTAACGAAATAAGATCCTAAGCAAATCAAGTAAAAATCATACATTAATTAAACATGCAGTAATCATAAAATGACAAAGCATCTTCAGAGTGTATAATATATTCAGCAAAGATAGAACTTCCTATTTAACTTGGAAAACTTTTATCGAAATTATACATGTCGAATACAAGCTAAGAGGTCAGCATCATCTATAATCATGCAGGAAGACAGCTTGATAATTGGTTAAATTTGCTTAGTTATGCGTTCCGAGCTCATGAGGCCATGTTTTGGTGACAAATGCAAAAGGAATTCTTTTGCTTTGGTCTACCCACCTTCTAAGCTAAGTGATAACGGCCGTTTTAGCCCTAAAATCTTTCTGTTTTGCAGCATTAGATGACATAAATCAGGATGAAAAAGAGTGCAGGTACATGCCTCTCTATACATGCACATGCCATATTTATATCATTTTTTCTATGAAAATAATAAACAAACATTACATAGAAGGATATGAAGTCACCAGTTATTTCCGAGTTCTAAAAACTTGGACAATCTCTATTTGCACAGGCTGATCTGTGTACAAGCCAAATATCTGAGATAACGATTCTAGTTCTTGGAGAGTCAAGAATCGGAAAGAATTGGCCAATCAGCAACAGGATCAAATGGGATTAGCCAACCCTCCTAATCTTAGCCATGATCCAAGCAGAAGAAGAGAAAGGAGGAAAGAAAAAGATACGAAAAGAGAGGGAATGAAAAGAGGAAAGGAACTCAACTTCAGAATATAGAATTTAGAAAAAGATACCAAGGGGGGTTTAAAGGGTCCTTTTTTAGGATTCAGGAATGATATCAGAGAAAAAACAGAAAAAAATTATTCACCATTGAACGTTTAGCTTATATCGATCTAGAAGTTAAAAAAGAAATAAAAACCAAATGCAATTTAGAAACAAGGATACAAGTTAAGCAGTAGAATTCCCAAATACAATTTAGTTAAGGTTCATTTGTAGAAAAACTAATAGTAGACTGCTTCATAAAGTTGTAGCAACAAGAGAAAATGAATAGATAATGAATAGATAAATATCAGAATTCTTAGAATTGACTGGAAGACCAAGTCAGAGCAGTCCACGAACTATACTAGGAAATATAGACTATATAAGAGATCAGATCAAAGAAGCAGTTGAATTAATAAAGCAAAGTCCTAATAAAAAGAGCTGAAAAAGGCCGTAGAAGCAATAAACATCACTGATCCTAAAACTATTAAGCTAGAAACTAAACAATTATTAATTGACTTACAAAAAGAAGTAGACTATGTTAACGGAATAATAAAAATTTGCAAATACAAATAAAAGATAGAAATAAGATTGTGCATGAGTAAGGTGGATAAAACATTAGGAAAAGCCATAAACAAACCAAAGGCTAAAAATATACCCGCAGTAGACTTTGACACAGCCAAATACGATAAAAATAGCAATAAAAAAAGGACTTCGAGCATCAAAAGATTCAATACATGCATAAAGAATGCTACAAGACTGGCTAACATAACAAAAAAGACAAAAGTTGCAGATTACTTGCAGACAAAAAAAGATCAGTGCAAACACTCTATTAGTCGATCAGAAGCACCATCTCCACCTTTACAGAAAAAAAGTTCCTCTTTTTCTTTTTTCCCATAGTCATCTAACCGAGTTATCAACTTGAAGCCGGACATGGAAACATAAGAAATCGCAGAAAGGGTAAGTACTCGCCTTCTGCTCTATATGGTTTATTCCGCTCATCGAACAATAAAGACAAGCAGAATCTAAGCAAACGAGAAGCGACTGGGAGTGATCTTACTCTTTCTCGTCGAGAATGTGGAAATCGACTGCGAGGAGGCACTCGGATCGGAGGATATCGAAGGAGGAGGGTGGCCGGAACGCCTTTCCTAGGGCTCACTTTCCCCGTCGGCTCGGCTCCCGTACTGCATAGCTAGCTAGGTGAGGTCATGTGTAAATTGCAGATATACCCCTGTAAACATTTGAAATTGTGGTCCTTTTTCCACATTATTAATGAAGGACAAATATATATATATATATATATATATATTAATAGAATGACTTGGAAATAAAATTTAAATAAACATAAGTACCTAAAAAATTATTTATATTATTTAAAAAACAAATTGAACTGAATATTTTTCTATTATTTTCAAAATTTATTAACCAAGAAATATATTGTATAGATGTTAAGTAATGTTATAAATTTGAACTGAAACCATATTTTAATTAAAAATATTTATTATTGCAATGTATATTTATCTCATATTTTAAATTAAACATAGCACATGGTAAGAAATTAGGTTTCAAAATTTAGTATCCAAACCTCCAATTAGGTCTATATGATTCTCATATAATATTTTAGTTATTGTATGTGTTCAAAATTTAATTCTATATTTTTGTTTCACTTCAACTTTTTATTAAAAAAAATTAACTAAATTTTAATTAATCTAAGGAGGAAGAGAACAATGGGAAGGTGGCAAAGGAGGAAATAGATGAAGAAGAAAAAGAAGAGAGGAGGATCAATAGGAGAGGAAGGAATTGGAGGAGGATAATAGGGAAGAGACCGAGGAGAAAGGCTTTGGAAATTATGAAGGGTTATTGATCCGAATCGATTGAAAGAATATAAAAATATATATTATTTCTAAGATTGAAGATAAAATTAAATTTTGAAAAAAAAAATATCTTTCAGTAAATTATCCATCTTAAAAATAATATCTTAAAGAGTATATTATATAAAGAAAATAAGAAAAAAAAAATTCACACTAATTGAGTATTTGTAATGCAATAGATAAAAACTACGTTTTAAATATTAAGTATTGTCTCATAAAATTATATTTCAAAAGTTCATTGAATATTACGTGACAAATTTATTCTTCTACTATTTTAAATATTTATTCAAAAGTGACTACATATTTTTTATTTGAATTAATAATTAAATAAATGATGTTAATTTCTCAAAAATAATATAAAAAATAAAATAAAATTCAACCTTGTAGAAGACATAAATGGTGTTAATTTCTCACTAAATCATATGAACAATTCTATAATTTTAGATAATATTATAGAATATTTTAAAAATTTTAAAAATTATAGTAACATCCCACAAATAATAAAATGCTAATGGGGATTTAAACATTTGTAATGCACCATTTAGGCCAAATCCAATTGAAAAAAACAAAAAAAAGAAAACTTACTAAACACCAAATTACATATAAAATATGTATTAAGTCCTCGTTGCATATTTTAAATGTGTGTTTCCATGGGCACCCTCCCTAAATCACACAAATCCTATGGAGGTTGAATAGTATTATTATCTTCACATTAACATCAAATTTCAATAGAGAATATTATTTTACAGATTAGATCTAAGTTAGCATCGCATGAACATTCTAAGATGGTATAAAATATTTAGTTTTGTAAGGTCATAATGCTTGGTTGGGGAGCAATCATAACCGTAAATGTCGTCACATTAGATCCATCCATATTAGATATAATCTCTTTTGAGTTTGATGAATAATAGTGGTAAATATATCTATCTATCTATCTATCTATTTATAATATAACAAAGAGAGGTTGAGCTCAAGCCACACTGGATTTCATATCTCTTTATAATGTGACAAAGGGTGTGTTTGATAACACATTTACTTTTTTTCTTTTTAATGTATAATAGAGAAAGCGATAATGAATGTATAGTTGTGGAATGTGTTTGGTAAGTAATCGATAAAAACTATATTGACATAAGTGTTATTTGGGTAAAATTAAGTATATTTGAAAACTTCAAATTAAATATTATGAGACAAATTTATCATTATAATATGTTTTAATATTTAATTTAATATATATATATATATATATATATTTAAATTAATAAATATATGGAATTTTTTTAAAAAAATATATGATTTTTAGAGAAAATAAGGATTAGGATGTCAATTATATGGTGATAATCTTATGATTCTAAAGAATATCATAGGGTATCTTAGAAAATTAAAAAAAAATCATTAACATCCCATAAATACTGAAATGTTAATACTATGATTTTTTTTAAAAAAAATATATATCAAACATCATTGCACATTTAAAATATAAAATATAAAATATAAAATATATCGAACATCATAATAGGAAAAGTCACATGAGAGAAAATTTCTTGGAGTTCCGCGAACGACAATGCTATGGATCAGAAACATTTTACGTCGACATTAATTGTTTCACGCGTTGAATGGTCACTTAGAACAACAATACATGAATTCAGCAGTGTTTGCAACTCTCACACACCAAATATTTGCAACTCAAAACACCAAAAAGACAGACACGCAATCACATCTTCTAAGAACAGCAATAAATAGTTCAAGCACTCGAAACAATCACATCTTGTAACGACAGACGAAGGCCAATTCATCTGAAATATGGTAATTAACGTTTGCGAGTTGACAATTTCGAATCTTTCGATGCAGTGAGTTGGGCAACTTAGGAAAGTCAGTCAGTCAGTAAAATCTTCGGGACCGGTCTTTCACATCGAGAATACAAATCCTAAATAAGTTACTTTTCTACGGGATGGAAACTTCTTTAAAGTTATCTACTTTATTATACTTAAAATGTGTTGTATGTTCTGATAAAAATATATGGAATATGGGTACATGTTTTAGAAAATAATTATAATGGGGTAAGTTGTTCTCATGTCAAGCCATCCTCTTCTTCCTCTTCCCTCTGAACACTAAAATGACAATGATTAACCTATTTACATGTGCAGTTTCTTGTGAATACAAAGATTATTATGAAAAAATAAAATATTACGATACAAGTAAAAAGAAATCTTTCGACTCAAGAAAACTGATGTAGTATTAAAAACAGGAAGATTGATAAGAACACTTATAAGATACCAAATGCACTCAGACTCACTCTCTATCTCTATGCCGTGCTAACTATCTAGATAGATAACTATGAATCAAATCTCAAACACTCCCCCTTGATTCATAGTTGCATACACCAATTTGCGACATAAAATAAACATTCTTTCGAACCGGAAGTGATTTGGTGAGGATATCCGCAACTTGTTCATCCGTTCCATAATATTTCATTGTTATGGCTCCACTTGCCTGAAGTACTCTTTCAATCATCTAAAGCTCCTACATAATCACTATCAGTGAAACCAAATAATTTGCATTTAAATTTTGTTTTGAACATCCATTTTAACCCAATCGCTTTCTTTTCTTTTGGTAGATCCATTAGCTCCCAAGTTTCATTCTTCTCAATTGACTTGATTTCCTCCTTCATTGCTTTTCTTCATTCCTCTTTTTTAATTGCTTCCTCAAAAGTTATTGGATCTGAAATAAACAAAGCAAATGTTGAGTTATAAATTTCTGTTAGTGATCTGAAATTTCTTGGAGGGGTTTCAGATCACTAACTGCTATTGGGTGAGGTTGACGATGAATTTGTTGGAGCAGGATCTGTCACTTGATTCTGCGGAGTGTCTAGTTCTGCTGGAATTTGCATTTGTGTTTCACTTTTATTGGTCTCCCAATTTCAACTTGCCCTTTCATTAAACATAACATTTCTGTTAATAATAACTTTGCCACTAACAGGGTTATATAATCGATATGCTTTCGATTGTAAAGAATAACCAATTAAAATGCATTTCTCTGATTTTTCATCAAGTTTGTGATGATTTTGTGAATTCACCAAAGCATAAGCAATACAATAAAAAATTCTTAGATGTCTAACACTTGGTTTCATACCATACCAAGCCTCAAAAGGAGTTCGATTCATAACAACCTTTGTTAGTAAAATATTCAACAAATAAATTGTTGTTGCAACTGCTTCTGCCCAAAATTGATTTGGAAGATGTTTTCCTTTAAGCAAACTTCTTACCCTTTCAACGATAGTCCGATTCTTACGTTCAGCTACACCATTTTGCTCCGGTGTATATGGTGCTGTCAATTCTCTGTGAATACCATTTTCTTCACAAAAAGAACTAAACTCATTAGATAAAAATTCACCATCTCTATCTGTCCGAAGTGTCTTTATATATCTACCACTTTGTCTTTCTACGAGTGCCTTAAACTTTCAAAAATTATCAAATGCTTCAGATTTCAATTTCAAAAAATATACCCAACTCATGCGACTATAATCATCCGTAAACAATAAAAAATATTGACTTCCACCAAATGATTTTGTATTCATAGGTCCACATAAGTCAGCATGAATTAATTCAAGATAATTAGATGCTCTCCATGCTTTTCTAATAGGAAATAGTTTTTTTACTTTATTTCCCATAAATACATCCTTCACATACATCAAGTGTATTAATCTTGGGCAATCCGAAAACCATTCCTTTTTGACTTAACAACCTTAAACCTTTAATGTTAAGGTGTCCATATCTTAAATGCCATAAACTAGACTCATTCTTTTGAGTTGTGATAAGCGCATGCCTTTCAATATTTGACACATCAAGTAGAAACATCTTGTTTTATGTCATGCAAACATTTACTATAATCAAACCAGATTTTTTATCTCTAATAGTGCATGAACCATCATCAAATATTACTGAATATCCATCATCTACTAATTGTCCAACACTCAACAAGTTAGTGATAAAATAAGAACAAAGAAAATATTATCAAGGTATTTTACCTTTCCTTGATTTGTCTTCACCTCAATTGTTTCTTTTCCTTCCACTTGGATTTGCTTGCTATCTCCAAGTCTAACTTCCAACTTGTGAGTTTCATCAATATCTCTAAATATTGATTTTATGCATGACATATGATTAGAACATCCACTATCCAGAAACCAAATATCATTTGAGATATTATGAACATGTGAATGAGTCATAAACAACTTACTATTTTCTTCATTTTTCTCTATATAGCTTGCTTGCTTTTCTCTTTTCCAGCAATCTGCCTTCATGTGACCAAACTTTT